ATTCTGTGATTCTGTGATTCTGTGATTTATCCCGCAGTTGTTTAAAAACTGCTTTTACCACCTGGCTATTGCCTACCAGTGCCTTGTGATAATATTTTAAAATTTAACACAAGAGGGCAGCACAGTTGAAAAATAAAAGATAAATAAAATGTGTTTACTAAAAGCATAAATTAGGTTCTGCTTCTCTTTACTAGGAATATGGGGATGCTGGGGACAAAACAACGAAGCTGGATGGTTGAACCCCACGGTGCTGTGGGACAAGTGGGCGGCACGGCTGCAAATCCCAGCGCACCGCCTTAGCGCAGCAGTGCCGCGGTCCTCGCTTGCCTTCGGGGGGATGGAAGCCCCCAAGGCTGCGGGCACCAGGACGGGAACTTGAATTTCCACCCATCAGACCCCACGGAGCAGCCCTGCCTTCTTGCAGGGGGGAAATACCCATCATGAGCTTTAGCTTGCAAGAAAAGGAGAAAAAATTATCTATCCCTCATGGTTGCCCAGGAGGTCGCAGAGTAGGATGCCTTGCTGCTGCTGCAAGGAAAATAGCCCCAGCTTGCTGTTTGCAACTCCTCTTTAAGCCTGATTTCTCCCTGGGAGCAGCCGGGGGGTACCCGGCCCTGTGGGGGGATAGGCAGTGCCCGTGGCATCGCTGCTGCGGGAGCTGGGACCGAGCAGGGCACATACAACCACCCCAGCTGCATAATAAATTCATTTTTTTTTGCTGACCTTCGGACTGTGCCGGCTGCATTTCACTAGACAAAAAGGGGCTAAACCCACACCGAGAACCAAAATAAAATCTTATTTGGTCACCACACTCCATCCCACACGAGGCACCTCGCAGTCAGCGGGCACTGCCGCATCTCAGCGTGCTTGTCCCCTGGGAAAGCGGCAAGAAGCCCACGGTCTGCAGCTACAGCAGGGATTTCTGAGCCATCAGACTGGGGTGAAATGACTCCGGCCAGGGGCAGGGCTGGCCAGAGGAGCCCTGCGTGGGTATTCCAGCCCCTGGCATCTCTGCTGTCACTCGGGCAGTGACTCTGGGCAGAGCTGTCTCAAGGTGAAGATGAGCTGCCTTCCATATCGTCAGGATTCTCATCCTATTTATGGAGGAAAAAAAAATGCTTGGCAGAGGGGAGATGTCACTGCCAATCTTGATGTTGTTGTGAGATTCCTCCTGCAGGCACGACAAGCAGCTAGCGATGATGAGATCTCCATTTATAACCTCGGAGGGATGCACAACACACGGTGCCTCCTGCCCTCCCCTGAAAGGCAGATTTCCTCCCCAGGGAATCGTTGCCTTGGGGAATTGCTTTCCCCCATGAAGAGTAGGCTTCAAATCCCTGATATTGTCTTTTTTTTTTTTTTCTTCTTCATTTGGGCCAAAGCCATACTTGTCTCTATTTCTGAGCATTTCACTCTCAAGCATGTACTAGCCCACCAAAACCCCCCGTTATCAAGCAGCTACCCGCAGGCACGCTGTGTGCGAGGGGACCTGCCCCGCCATCCCTCCCTCCAGCCTCTCACTGCCCTGCATTTGCTATTTTTGCTGAGCTACCATTTAGGAATTTTGACAAATATTTCATCGTACGCCTCTTACACATTTCGGTCCGCGGTTGTTTTCATTTCTCCCACCTTTACTCCTTTCAAGAAAAACTGAGGTCAGCTCAGAGAAAAAAAAAACTTTAAAAAATATCTATCTATCTATCTATCTATCTATCTATCTATCTATACACATATATATCTTCTTGTTTCCCAGTGCCTGCTCCCGCGGGCACGGCCATGGGATGCTTTGTGACGAGCACATGCCTGGACCGCTCGCTCTGCCAGCTGCACGGCACAAATGGCATCGTTTAAGAAAAGATTTTTCAAAAATACAAACAAATGTTTTCAAAACCCAGAAAACAGCCTCCAGCAGCATAAGAATAATTCTGAAGCAGCTTGAAGTTCTCCGGTAGGAACCACGCCACCTTCCCTCCCTCTTGCCGGGGCTGGGGCGCGGGGCTGGCCCTGCAGCGGGTGCCCGGACCCTGGCACAGTGACACCGGGGGGGGTCTCACCAGGGACCCGGGACCCTCCGGAGCTGCCCTTCCTCATCTGCTGGAAAAGCCGCTCGGGGCACGAAATAAAAGCATGTGCCAGCACAGCTGGGGGATCAGATCTCCAGCCTGACTAGCGAGGTGTGAAACCTGCCAAGAAGCACAGATCCTGCCCATCGCCCAGCTCCCGGGGTCCCCGGTTGGGGGGGGCCTCATCCTGCCTGTCCCAGCAGAGCTGAGGTCCGGGTGAGGAGGAGGAGGGACATGGATGTCCCAGCCAGGGACGTGACGGACCCAACCACAGCGTGATGCAAAGAGCTTTGCACATCCCCAGAGGTGCCTCGCCACTAATATTGTGTTTCATTTTTACGATGGAAAGCTTTTTTAATTTGCTCCAAGACTTTTGAGCTTCACCTGCCGCTTTGGGGACCAGAGCCACCGACAATAAATAAATCTCTATTAAACTCTCATTTTTTCTTATTATCTCTCCATTCCCCACGCTGCTGAGCGGGGCCGTCGCCAGCCCAGGGGAGCGATGCTGCTCTGGCCAGACGAGTGTTCCTGTATCCCTGAAGAGTCGATCCATCGCCGCTGATACCCGCAGCCATCGCAGCAGCTGGGGCACCCCGAGCGATGGCAGAGAAACCTCACCTCCCTGCAGGCAGCGAGTGAAGAAAATGAGCATCCAAAGTTCATCCTTTGATTTCTTCGGTCGTGCCTTCCAGCACACAGCCGCTTTTCTGCCAACACTCGCGGCTCAGCAGCAGCAGCACGAGCAGGGGAGGTTTCAGGGTCACCTACAAACCGCTCGCCATCGGAAGCGGCTGTTTGCTCGTGGGAAAAGCGCGGGCACGCAAGGAGATGGAGCGGGGACCGTGCGGCTTGCAAAGGCAGCTTGGCGCTGACGGTGCGTGCCAGGGAGCGCAGAACCGACAGATGGCCCAACAGATGCTCTGGGATGGAAGTGGCTTAGTAGGTGAACCACAAAAAAGCACGAAGCGCACAGAAAGAGTCAACACCACACCATTCATAATAAAACATCCCCTTTTTTTCACCCTGCTCAGAATCTCACCAAGCACCGCGGTTCAGACCCCGGCGCCACACTCCGGCACCGCTGGCGGGATCTGGAGCATCCTCGGAGCTGCGAGCGCCCGCGATGGGCTGTGCTGCGCGGGAATCTCTCCTGCACCGCCTCGCTAGGTGCCAGCTGACTGAGCAGAGAGGTCACTTCTGCCTCCAGGATACAACATCCCATCTTCCTCAACCTCATCAGCTGCTGCAAACCCTCAGTCCCAGGCCAGGTCCCTGTCCCCGTGGCTGCCAGCACGGCTGGGCAGTGGTACCCCCATCCATCCGGGG